CAGTGGCGGCCTTAGGGGGTGGCGAGCAGGGCAATCGCCCGGGGCCTCGCTCTTGGAGGGGCCTCGCGCAACAACCAAGTAGAAAAAAGTTGATATTTAAAACTTTTTATTTTATCCTTGGCTATTAGTTATAACAATAAAATAAATTTAATTTATAGTACAGTATATATTAATATTAATAAGTGCCTACTATTTCAATTCACATACTTTGCACAAAGGACAAGGGCCTCGCAAAGATCTGCCGCCCAGAGCCTCGCAATGGATAAGGCCGCCGCTGCTGAGGAAATACAAGTAATATCAGATTTATTAGTGCTTGATTGCTTGCTCTCTATTTTGGTTGTATGTTCTTTGGAATTAAACATAATATTGCTATCCAGAGCTTATCACACAGGGACACTTTTTTCAATGGAAAAAGTAGATTTTATTTTTTATCTTTTATTTTAAAAAGTGCATTTTGAGTCATATGCTCCTCTTTAGTCCTTATTTTGTATAATATGGTAAAACTATATAAGAAATTACAGAACACATTTAATAGTTATAAGTTTTTGATAGCAATTTTATGCTTAATTTCAAAGAACATACAATATCAGATTCAGTTTATTTTTACTGCGAGTTATCAGAATGAACTACAAAATCAGCTAATAATATATGAAAAGTTATCGGAAAATGGCAATTGTTATTTTTATTTAGTTGCAAAACAGACACTAATGTTGCAAATTTAAAAAAGGAAGTACTGAGAATATTAATGTAAAGTATACTATAAATGTCAGTCTTAAGTTCAATTTTTATGCATTTATATTTGTGAAAAAACAAACTGACAAGGGATCAACATGTCCAAAATGCATTTTGGCATATATATACATTTAAGAAAATATAAACTGATATATTAATATAAACAAATGATTAACATATGTTAATGTATGATATCTTCATTATATGAAAATTATTATTATTATTTATAACCAGTTGTTACAGTAGAGCCTCAAAAACTCGGCCTAATGTGGACCGAAGGGTGGCCGAGTTTGTGAAAATGCCGGGTTATCGGGAATGGGGTTAAAAAAAATAAGTATGAGTGTTTCCTCAGAAAATACTGTACTGTACTTGTATGTATTGTTTACTTGAGAATACAACAGAGAATAAACTGCCGAAATACCCTTAAACAAAGGAAAAGTATGTCCTTTATGAAGGCATAGAGCCTTTACTACATGAAAATGAAAATTAATGAATACACTGTGCACAGTAATTTACCTGATAAGACAGACCTCAGAAAAATACTTTATGAGGCATAAAGCTGTCTATAATGAAAATTAATTAACTAAGGATTTTTTTGCCCTGCCAGCAGTGCCGGCCCGAGGCAAGTTTTAGGATGGAGCGAGATCCTATTATGGCGCCCCCCTTGGTTGCCCCTAATTTATACCCTTTAATTTTCTTTACCACTGAGGCGCCCCTTGGACTTAGCGCGTGGAGTGGCTACTCTGTTCGCCTTATGGTAGGGCCAGCTCTGCCTGCCAGCGTGTGGCCGAGTTATCCGGACTGCCGGTTATCGAGTGCCGAGTTTTCAAGACTCTACTGTATTTATATTAAAGTGCAAGAAATGAATTTAATTGCCTTTCTTATTGAACAATTTTATAAAACAAGTAGATGAAAAAGATGTATAAGATCTAGTAAGAAAAATAACAAAACTAAAAGTGATAACATGTGATATTTTTATGTAAATTGATTGATAATGAAAGAAAATTTGAAGCCTAATTTGATTTAAATGTAATTTTAAATATTTTATATATTTATTTTTAGCCTTGTACAACAACTTCCTATGGCCAATTTTAATCTTCTACAACATCTTCTCTGTGTTCTTTGGCATATTGCACAACATGCTTCAGAAAACAAAATGTCAGCAGCCAATCTTGCAGTGTGCATTGGTCCAAGTCTTCTTTCTCCTTTACTTTCTCCTGTTCATAATTCATCAAGTATCCATCAGCAGGTATGTCTATTTACATAATATTTATTTACATGCTTAAAAATTTTAACAATTAAATAGTACAGTAATATATTTTGATCTATAGTTAACAATCTAATTGTGTAAATTTTTCACACAGTTAATGTAACAAACATGTACTGTACAAAATCAATTACTATATGTTATTTCAATTCCTGTCAGTTATTTTTAAAAATCTATACAAATAAATAATTTCAAGTCTTATATTATTACAATGATTATCATGGGCAGCCAACTTTATTAATAATATTTAACCTCCAATAATATTTTAAATGGTGCCACTTAAAATATTGGGAGCTGAATTGGTTGGTGCCTTAGAGTTGGTGCCCATGATGATTACATCTTGTTATTTAATTTTTAATTAATGTAAGACTTAATCTGATGTAACATAGATTTAATAAATTAATACAAATTAGATTTGAGCAATTATTAAATATGTCAATTCAATGTAAGTTAGCTTAATTGTTATTAATAGCAATTGCTTAAGCTCAATAATAATAATAATAATAATAATAAATAATAATAATAATAATAATAATAATAATAATGGACTGAAAATACACTCACAGACAGACACACACAAAACACAATTCTATCACAAGCCTGCCTGGCAGAGAAGAATAGAAACACAAATAAATTACATTAGACAGCAATTAGGCAGGCTGACACAATACACTAAAAACAACATAACACCCAAATTAAAGAAACAACTCAAAAACATTTTCAAGAAAATCAAAACACACACAAAACATGAACATCACAACACACACATTACAGAATACATCGATACACTAAAACA